TATATAATCGTGTAACAGTAAAAAGTACACAAAAAAAGAAAAGGAGAAAAGTGGAATGAAGCCTGTATGGTACGAAGTGTATCTGTATTGACATACATATTGCATCAAGTGTCTCATTAGACTTTTTATATATGAGGGGTATTTGTTCCCCTTGCCCTTCGGGATATCTATTTCCCCTCCCCTATATGGTCTAGTAAGACATAAGAGAACTACTCCCACTAGATGACGATGTATCCTCTGACGAGAGTGGTATTGTACTCTCTGTAGGAGTCACCTGTGGCTAAGTAATATCGTGACTGTAGATATCTGTTAGGGCCACTATGGCTGGTACGACTGTGGTCATAGCTCGTACCATGGTTTGGCCAGCTGAAAATGGGTATGAGCAAATTGTCATATCTGTATCTGATTTGGTCATTCCACTTAGGTAGTTAGAAATCTGTATCTGCTATCAAAGATGGAAGTTATAACGACTTCACGAAGCATGACAAGAAAATATGAGCATTTCATGATTTATTTAATTTTTTCTATTATCTAGCATAATGTATGTTTGGTTGTCTATATTAATGTATCGTTTTCTTAATAAATAAATAGTTTTCTATAATGTGAGATAGGTAAACGAAGAGGTTAAATTGTAAGTTACAATAATTAACTTTTGAAATCTTATGATGTTAATTGAATATTATTTTCTTTACTAAGCATATAGAACTCACTCTTTCTATACTCACCCCAGATGAGAAAGAAAGTGAGGAACCGCAAACTGACCTACCCTTGGAAGTCTATGAGAATTCGTGGATTCACAAGTCTGGGTGCATGACTGTTCCTGCACTCTGATTAGTCCAATAGCATACAGAAAGAAGTGATCCTTATGTTTTGTTTTGTATTTTGTAGCCACTGTTGCCCTCAGTATATGTATATATTAGAACTCATATGTATTTGTAAGAGATTTGTAATAATTTTATTTCATTGTATAAATTTTGTCATACACTTGTTATTCTGAATCCGTATTTGACACCCATTTTCCTTAATTAGCACTTGAGATGTCACATTCGAACCTTTGGCTGCATTAAATTCATTTAAATTACATCGCATATTATTTATCGTAATTCGTAAATCTGGTTGATTTTTAATTATTTTGCTTCTATTTAATTTTAATTTTAATTTTTATTATTTAATTTGCATTTAACTTTATTTAATTTAATTTTAAAAAATTGAGAAAAATAAGAAAAACGGGAAACAGATGAGGAAGAAACCTTATGATGTTAATTTAATATTGTTTTTCTTACTAAGCATATGAAACTCACTCTTTCCATCCCCCGACAGATGAGGAAGAAAATGAGAAACCATAGGCTAACCTACCTTTGGAAGTCTATGAGAATCCCGTGGATCCACAAAATTTAAGTACATAATTGTTTCCGCACTCTAATGAGTCCAATAGCATAGTGAAACAAGTGGCATTCTTTTGTGTTTTGTTTGCATTTTGTAGCCACTTCAGGCCTCAGTTATATCTATGTAATTGGAACTCATATATATATTTGTAAGAGATTTGTATTAATTGTTCTGCTACATAAAATTTTATCATGCACTCGTTATTCTAAATCTGTATCTGATACCCATTTGCTTTAATTAGCATCTAGTATATCATAGTATGGGGTCTTAATGGTTAAATCAAAAGCATTATGAATATAGTTTTTACAACTATTGATGGAAGCTATTGATTTTGTAAATGGTGTGGTTTTAACTATAGTATTATATTTGCAAAAGACATTAAGTGATATCATATGAATCACACTTTATCATATGAATCATATTTCTACTCCACTTATTATTGGTAGACTGTTATTCCAGTAATTAAAGAGCTGATGCCCCTCAAATAAACATAAACTTTGTGTTAGATATATATATATATATTTAAATTGGGAAAACACTAGTAAGGGGAGAAATTAAGAGCAATGTTGATTATCCATTACAGCTAAAATTTGAATAGATAATCTTGATTGACTATCACCACCAACCAATACCTTTATAAGAAAAAAAAATCAAACAGATTATGATATCCAATTACAATGGTCTTTGCATGTCTAATGGATCACAATCATGATGTAGGAGATCTCATAATGATATCCAACAAAAAGTCTAAACCAGACCAAACATCTAGGTAGAAGCAAATAGTCATACAATAAATAAGATTTATACACTAACTTGGAAAAAAGTTGGTATTCGGTTCAACCCTTATAGAAGGTGTAATATAAAAAAATGGGACTAAAGAACAAAATTTTATTATGCTCTCCCATCAACAATGGATGATGGAGAATATAAAAATGACACATTTTACTTAGCCATTCGTCTCAATGTCAACGAAATTGTAAACCTTTGTAAACTAGTAAGACAATCTTGTTATTAAATTATTTAGAAATAATATCAATTACAAGTATAAACTAAAAAAGATATAGGCTTTATCTAGAGTTATGTTGTCGATTATATTGAAAATGACTTCTTTGTAGCAAGATCAAAAGAAAATGATTATGAATATGCACCTGCTTGAGTTCAATG